ACGGTCAACTCGTCGTCGTGGTTTCCCGGTCTCTTTCGCCGATTTTGCTTGCGCAGGACGTATATGCCGCTGTCGATGGCGTCTGGCTTGCGCTCGGGCTCCGCTACGACCATGAACTCCAAGCCCTGCATGGTGCGCAGGCGGGCCTCGAAAGCGTCACGGTCTGCCAGCCAGGGGGCGCCTTGGTTCTGGATGAGGAGAGCCCAGTTGTTGGAGGTGCGATCCATGTAGTCGGACTCGGCAAAGTAGAGGTGGATTGTGCCACGGTGCAGGCCGCCGAAAAAGTGGTAGAGGTTGGCCAAGGCGGCCGGGCTGCGCCATTGGAGCTCGTCCAGCGGGGTTTGCTGGACAGCAGCCATGGTAGATGGGCGAGAGACGGAGGGCAGAGGCGAGGTGACGTCGGGATAAGCAATCGACTGGCCGGAGGTGTTGAAGAGCCGTGCATAGGGCTGAGTGGCGCTAGGCGCTGGCGTGGCGCCGACGGGAGAGACAAACGCGACCGACGACACCACGACCGGACAGCACAGGACATCCGTCTCTCCGCCGCAGTCGTCCTACCCGTCGATTGTCTTGTTTGTTTGTTTCGAAATGGATCTCGTGCAGACGGTCCGTAAAGAGGGCTCGAGGTTTGGTATGGGTGCCGCTTCGCTCCCCGAGGGTGAATCACCGCTAACCTGGCCCTGTAGGAAACTGTCGTCCATGACCCTTAGCATGCACTAACCCATCCCAGGGGCAACCTCGCCATCGGTGGGAACGTCGACTGGAGCAAGATCGCGTCGGACTCGCAGCGCGAGAATTATCTCGGCCACTCGGTCCACGCCCGTGAGTCCTCGCGTCGCTTCCTTGTTGTGCCTTCCTCTTCCATTCCGCCTCGGACGCGCCTTCCACGGGTGTCTGTCTACATGTTCCCTCCGCTCCCATGACTCCACGCCCGCCTGCGGTGGGCTTCCTTCTCCCTCTCCCTCTCCACCCCACCCATGTGTACCCTCATCTTTGCCTTGACGCGCTGGACTGCAAGGCTGTGCATTTCGTCCTCTCGCAAGGTTCTTTGCCTCGCCCCCAACTTTTCCCTGTTCCTTGTCTGGGCATCCTTCTAACCCTGCCACAGCCGTCGGACGCTGGCAAAAGGGCCGTGACCTCAACTGGTACGCAAAGGCCAACAAGTCTGCCTTTCACATCGACGACGACGAGAGGAAGCAGATTGAGGAAGAAAAACGCCAAATCAAGGAACGCGAAGCTGCCATGATGGACGAGATGCTCGGAGTCAAACGCCCCGCTCCCCCCCAGTCTGGTGCAGGTGCAGCTGCCGGGGCCACCAACGCCAATCTGATCCCCCTTGGCCCTAGGTCTGCTCGAAGCAACTCCGGAAAGGACGAGCACGACCAAGACTCTGGTGCCGGAGGTCGCGGCATTGGCTACGGCAAGAAATCCGGCAACATGGGCGGAGGCGATGTCCTGGAGGGCGAAGGACTCGATTCACGCAGTGGAGACAGACACCGTTCCAGCCGTCATCATCGCTCCCACCACGATGAATCTCGCGACAGCCATCATCGCCACCATCACCGACGCAGCCACCGCTCTCGATCGCGATCCCGCTCTCGCGAGCATCGCAGTCGCCGCCATGATGAAGAGCGTCCCAGGGAGCGTGATTACCATCGCAGCCGTCACTACGAAGACGAGCGCCCTCGCGAACGTGAGCAACACCGCAGCCGCCACTATGACGATGAACGCCCTCGCGAGCGTGATCCGTACCGCAGCCGCAACTACGAAGACGAGCGACCCCGTGAACGTGGCCCGCCTCGCAGCCGCTACCCCGCAGAGCGTCCCCGCGCGCCCGAGTATCCTCGCAGCCGCCAGTACGAAGAAATGCGCCCCCGCGACCGCGACTACCCACGCAGCCGCCAGTACAACGACCGCACGCAGTACAACGACCGCACGCGTTCTCGTTCCCCTCGTCGTCGCTACCCCGATGAAGGACGTCTGAACGACCACGAGCAACGTGCCAACAGCTACCAGGAGGAGCCAGCCCCCATGCCAGAAGCCGCGCCTGCGCCTCGCGATCCGTCCTGGTCGCCTCGTCCACGCGTCGCCTTGCCCGATAGAATCGAGCCGCAGGAATGGTAGATGGGAGCAGCGTTGATGTTCTTTACGGCGTGTTACTTGCTCAATGGGAAAAGGCACAAGATGTAAGATACCACTCAGTAGTCCAGCGAATCCGGGTTGCTCTCCTAGCTTTCAATACAATTCTCGTATTTCAATCCAAGATTCTCATGTTCTGTGACTTTATCACGCCTATGGGGAAGGAGTACTGCTGGGCGGTCGAGTTAGCGGTGGCGGGTGTTCGGCAGAATAATACGAGTGGTGGACCCTCGGACGAGGGGCGATCCCGCGCCACAAGTCCGCCCTCCCCGGTGTCCCAGTCTGTTTGATATGACTCGACCAGTGTAAACCTCAACTGTCCCAACACCTCACCCTTGGCCCCAAGAATATATTATCACTCCGCTTCACTACATACCTGTACCAGACTCATCTTCGCTACGCCAGGACAACATTTGACCATGTCGTCCACCGTCACCAACACCGTCCTTTGACCCCCACTCGCCATCTAATCCATCCCGCCACAACTACACCTACTCCGTCCTATCGACCGCGAACCATCGCTGCAGAGTCATACTCGCTCCGCCCATGGCCGACCAAAACGAGCGCGAGGAGGAGCTTTCCTCCATCACCGCCATCTTCCCCGAACTCGCCATCAACCCAGACGACCCGTTTGCCGCGTCCATCGACCTGCCCGTCGCGCCGCTGTCGCCGCTCGCCATTGCGTTCCCTGCGCTCGACGGCACGCCGCCGCAGAATCTCCCCACGCCGCCTACATCGGACAATGAGGGTGCAACAGACAAGAATGGGCTGCCTGGTCGGACTGCCGCGCGAGAGGTACACCGCCTGTCGTATCTGCCGCCTCTCAGACTGCAGATAGCGCTGCCAGAGGGCTATCCGGCGGAGAAGCCGCCTCACTTCACCATCGAGGCAACGGCAAATTGGGTCCCGGAACACGTGCTGAGGCAGCTGGTCGACCAGGGCGAGGCGCTCTGGGAAGAATACGGGCGCGGGCAGGTCGTCTTCGCATACATCGACTTCCTGCAGCAGGCGGCGGAAAAGAGCTTCGGCCTGGTCGACGACAGCGCCAAGGACGTGCTGGAAATGCCGGCCGCGCTCGAGATCGAGCTGCTGGACTTCGACATGCAGGCCAAGCGGCGCCGGTTCGAGCAGGAGACGTTCGACTGCGGCGTCTGCCTGGAGCCGAAGAAGGGCAGCGCCTGCTACCGCCTGCGGCGCTGCGGGCACGTCTTTTGCGTCGGCTGCCTGCGCGACTTTTACAACAATTGCATCGCCGAGGGCGACGTCGCGAGCGTCCGCTGCATCGACCCGGGCTGTGGCAAGGACGGCGACGCGGCCGCCAGGAAAAAGGACCGCACGCTCAACCCGTCGGAGCTCCTGCAGATTCCCATTGAGAAGAGCGTGGTTCAGCGGTACGCGGAGCTCAAGCGCAAAAAGAAGATTGAGTCGGACAAGGATACCATTTATTGCCCGCGCAGCTGGTGCCAGGGCTTTGCGCGCTCGAGCAAACACCCCAAGATCACTGACTTGACCCAAGTTCCTGATTCAGATAGTGAGTCAGACGGCGAGGACAACGCGCGAAATAAGGACGAGCAGTCAGTCAAGGAACGCGCATCCCGCCTCACCGTGTGCGAAAAGTGCGAGTACGCCTTCTGCCGCGTGTGCCTGGCGGGCTGGCACGGCGAATACGTGCGGTGCTACCCGCGCAACGCCAAAGAGCTGTCGGAAGAAGAGCAAGCCTCGTACAACTGGCTGCGGCAGCACACCAGCCCGTGCCCGACGTGCCAGAGCCCGTGCCAGAAGACGCACGGCTGCAACCACATGGTGTGCTTCCAGTGCCGCACGCACTTCTGCTACCTGTGCAGCCACTGGCTGGAGCCAGAGAATCCCTACCAGCACTTCAACACCGAGGGCGCGCCGTGCTACATGCGGCTGTGGGAGCTGGAGGAGGGCGACGAGGGGCCCGAGGCGAACCCGGATGGTAGGGGCGTCTTTGCGGGCGGCGTCAGGGGGTGGGAGGCTGATGTCCTAGTCGCGGCGGACGAGGACGCCGCTAGAGAGTTGCAGGCTGAAGAGGACGCTCTTGTGGCGGATGGCCGACATCCGTTGCCCGCGAATCACCCCCCACACGCCCAACGCAACCCTCACCCTCCCGCCCCCGCTCCCCTGCCCGAACTGCAGCTCGTCATCGGCCTCGACGCGCTGCGCCTAGCAGAAGAGCAGCAGCGCGAGCTTCCCCGCGGCCCGCCGCGCGCCGGTCCCCCTATACTGCCCTTCGCAAATCCCATCCCTAACTTCAACCCCATCCCCGTCATGCCTCACATCAACCACGCAAACCTGCCTCCTGACCATCATCTCCCTGCTCGCGGTGCACCGGCAGCAGCAGCAGCAGCAGCAGCAGGAGCAAACCAGGTTCGACAACGTAACCGCCACCAAAACCGCAATCCCAACCAACAGCACTTTGGCAACGGGAATCAGAACGGCGCGCGGCGGCGACAACAAAACCAAAACCAACAAAACCAACAAAACCAACAAAATCGCAACGGCGCCCCTCATCGTCGCGCAGCCGAGGGGGGACGCGGGCATGCAGGCGGTGGTGTCGACGACGGCGGGGCGCACGACGTAGGGCAAGGGAGAGGGGTAGCTGGAGAGAGAGGGGTAGGGGTAGGGGTAGCGCAAGGCCACGGCCTCCAGCGCTTCCTGCGCATGGTGGTTGCGGACGAGGAGGACGGGTGGGACAGCGACGAGCTGGAGGGCGAGGAGGGGGCGTGGGTCATTCCTGTGCGCGAGTGAGTGAGTAGCCAGCTAGATAGGTGGATAGCACACACAGTATACTAATCAAGTCAAAAAGATGAAGCAAAAAGGATGAAGCAAAAAGAACACTCCATCGCCGAGAATCGAACTCGGGTCTCCAGTCTGATCCGTAACGGACCACCCTGGTGGCCACCGGCCAGACAATCAGCCACACAGCGGCGGGAGCCTATTTACTGTGAGCGGCGGGAGCCGCGGTGGACCCAGGGGGGCCGTCGTGTTGAGATTGGCGTGCTGGACCACTGCACCACGACGGATTTATGTTGGTGTTGAGGTGGCGGCGTTGGGTTATACACATGCGGTGCTGCGTGAGGGCGGGCTACATGCCTGAGCTCTCTAACCATACAGAGGAATTTCTCCATGTTGCGTTTGACGCGATATGAGTTCTTGAAAACGGTATCGAGCTTGATTGCTCTACCATGTATGAGGTGTGCATTGAAGTCTACCAATACCACATGCCTCCGCCATCTATGTCTAACGTAGCTATCAGCAGCGGCGGCGTGTTCGTTGAAAACACATCCATCCATCCATCCCGCGCGAGCATCGCTGCTCCACCTCCTCCTCTTCTCCTTCTGCTTCCTCTCACCTACAAATCCAGAACGCCATCCACTGTAAATGCCAAAAAGTAGTGTTGAAGACGCCGCTCTGTCTACAAACCCACACCAGCACATCTCCTCAGACCCACTCGATGCCTACCTACTCGTCGTCAACAACGACAACACCCCCATCGAAAACCCGCATGATGCTGTCCAGCTTGACGCGCATCTCGTCGTACTCGGCGTGCGGGTCGCTCTGCGCCGTCACGGCGCCGCCGGCGCCGACGGTCCAGGTTTCGTACGCCTCATCTTCCCCGTTGGCGCTGCTCCTCCTCCCGTCGTCGTCGTCGTCGTCCCAGCGAAACGCCGTACGGATCACGACGGCAAAGTCGCCGCCGCCGCCGACGTCCAGGTAGCCCATGACGCCGGAGTAGACGCCGCGGGGGACGCGCGCTTCGAGGGCGCGCAGCAGCTCGCAGCTGCGCTTCTTGGGGGCGCCGGTCATGGAGCCCGGCGGCAGGGAGGCGGACAGGAGGGCGATGCCGTTGCCATCGCCCTTCACTTCATTCCCCGGCAGCTGCCCCTCAACCACACTGACCAACTGCCACACCGTCTCGTACTCCTCGACGCCCATCAGCTTGCTGACCCACACGTTGCCCGCGCCCGCCACGCCGTGCAGGTCGTGCCGCACCAGGTCGACAATCATGAGGTTCTCGGCGCGCTCCTTGGCCGAGCTGAGCACGCGCTCCGCCTCGGCGCGGTCCGGCGTCTGCGTCTTCGGCACCGTGCCCTTGATGGGCCGGAACTGGCACCGCCCGCTGCGCGTCCAGCTGAGGAAGCGCTCCGGGCTGCTGCTGACGACGGTCGCGCCGGCGAGCCGGATGTAGGCGCTGAAGGGCGCCGGGTTGAGGCGGCGCAGGCGCGTGTACAGGTGCCAGGGCAGGGCGTGCGGGGAGTGTGGGGACCGTGGGAGGCGCACTGATGTTGGCGCTGTGAGGCAGAGCTCGTACGAGTTGCCGGCGCGGATGTGGTCGTGGCAGGTGGCGACTTTGGCGGTGTACGAGGAGCGGGTGGGCGTTGTGGTGTGCGAGCGGCGGAGGAGGTGGGCCAGTGAGGTGCGAGAGGGGGCGGGTTTAGTGGAGGGTGTGGGTGAAGCGATGGTGCTATTCCCGTTCCTGGTTTTGTCGTGGCAGTTGGAATGGTGGAGCTGTGAACGGGAGTCTGCGTCTTTGAGTGCCGCCATCTTGGAGCACTTGTCGGTAAAGCGCGAGTCGATGGGAGCCGTCAACGCAGACCTGAGCCTCCTCGCCGTGTCTTGCACCCACTCGTCACTCCCCTCGATGCTCTGGACGTGAACGGTCTGTTCGACGTGATTAATCACGATACTCCGCAAGACGAACGCGAACAGAATGTCTGGCCGGCGTGCCCCTCCACCTCCGACACTTGCTCCCTTGGAGTGGACGTCGATCGTCTCCAGTCCAGCTTCGTAGCTGATGATGCCGGCAAGTCCGCCCCAAAAGGGAACGCCGAGCGGGCCATTGTGTGTGCGGCAGCGCTCCGAGAGGTCCTTGAGGTAGGACCAGACATCCACGTTGGTCTCGTCGAGCAGGAGCTCGTTTGCACTCCACAGCTGCAGTCGTTTGTCCTCGACGTAGTATTCCAGTCGTAAATTTGATCCGTCTGGATTGAGACAGCAGAGGATGGAGTTGGAGCCCGTCTCGGCTCTGATTGGTTCTTTTTTGGAATTGAAGCCAGACTCGAGGATAATGGTCTCTCCCCGCGGCAATCCAAGGAGCGAGCTGATTTCCTTGACATCGCAGGTAGTGGCCGCGAATCGCTCGTAGTGCACGACGCTTTGCGGTTTGTTCACTAATCGCCGTCGAAGCAGATTTGAGTGGACAGCATCCCACTGCGGGGGATTTTGGCCGTTCGGAGCGGGGCGGAGAGACTGCGTTATGGAAGCACCGCTGCCGACCCAGACGCCCGTGGAGTACGGATTTGCAGTCCTCGCCGGCCTGCCGTCGAGCCACGATCTGGCCTGATTCCACCAGTTTCGGATGATGCGGGCGCCGGCTGGGTTTGTGCAGATGGACTCGGGGTGGTACTGGACTCCCCAAAAGGGATGGACTATGTGCTCGACGCCCATCAACACGGGGCCGTTTGCCGCGCTGTCGAGATCCCAGGCTATGGGCCGGAGCTTTGGGCATTGCTGGCTCGGATTCCACAAGCCAGTTCCAGACTTGGGGTCGGGGGAATGTTGCCCGTCCGAGTGAAGCTTGACCTGGAGTGAATGGTACTGCGTAGCGTGTACGTCGCCGACGTCGGTAAAAATGGAGCTTTGCCGGTGTTGCACCCGAGTGATGATGCCGTGACGTGGCTCCGGCAATTTTTCTACAGCAGCTCCGTATGCGTAGGCCAGACTTTGGAAGCCCAGACAGATGCCAAGGACAGGCAGTTCTTGCTGGGTCAAAGGCAAGCTCCACAAGCGCGAGATGAGACCTACGTCGTCTGGATTAGTGGCGGTTCCGGGGCCTGGGCCTGCAACGACGGCATCGTAGCCAGAAACAAAGCCGGCGAATTTGGAAGCGTCTTGGCCCAGGAAGCGCGGGTCGTCAATGTGGATGGTCGTTACGTCAGCCTGGATGGTCTGACGCAGGAGAGCCACGATGTTGTTGGCAAACGAATCATAGGCATCAAGGAACAGGATCCGCGGGGCATGGCAGGCATCGTCTTTGGCCATGTCGAGACGTGTCGGGGGTCGGTCAGAGTCGGAGGCCGGGGAGGGAGAAATTTCCGGATGGGGCAAGGGATAGAGATGTGGTAATAGTGGCACAGAAGAAGGATAATAGATGAAAATAGACAAAGAAAGCAAGCTCAGAAAATTCTTGAAAGGACCATGGTAGCGGAGAAGAAAGGTAGAAGCTGGAACCAATCAGCAGCGTCTCAAAGCAAGCAGACGGGATTCTCACCCACCACAGGACGTCGAGCAACAATGACCGAGACACGGACAGGACGGGACGGGAGGAAAGTCGGCGGAGAAGCAGGAAGTCGGGGCCGGGGCCGGAGTCCGTCCAAGAGCGAGCGGAAGAAATTTCCTCAGTTACGGAGTCGAGTCGAGTGGATGCGGCCGCTAAACTTTAAGCTTATCGCTCGGCTCCAACGTTTCCGGCGATCCACTAGCCCCTTTGGTGCTGCTCAGGTCGCGCACACCAACTCATCTCGCATTTCCATCTTTCTGCGCTTCACAGCAGTCGGCACTTTTGCACCCGCCATCGACACTGGACAGGCGTTTGGCTTTGTGGCCCAGCGCTTGGCTCGTGCCTCAGCCAGTCGGACCGCCGCAAATCTCCAAATACCTCGTACCTCCGCCGGCCTCGCACTCGCAAACAACAACGTACCTCGCGGCAGAACTTTCGAGCGTCTCGGTTTCACTATCAAACTTCCTCGTACTCGTTTAACATTCAGACCATGCCGACAGCAAAAAGTAATCGCGTCCCCCACCGTAACACCTCTCTGCAAGATCGTCCTGCCTCCGAATCAGTATCCTGACACCGGGTGCCGGCGCCGCGTTTGTCAACGCTGGGTCAGCATTCTCAGCACCAGCTCGGGCATTTTCTCGCTCGGGAGGAACCATGTTGACCGTCACTGGCACAGGCGTCGGAGCTTCAGCCCAGAATCCGGCGCCGCGGTCTGCTTGCCGTCTTGGGTCCCGAGTCTGGCGTTTCATCCAACTATCCACGCGCGAGAGAGCCAACGGCGGAGGTGAGATGTGGTTTCGCTGCTTCGCCTGACTAGCCCTTGGCGCGCACGCTTGCAGTGATTGGGCCGTGTGTCAGGTCTCAGGGCAGGCGGCTCTTGGAGGCGTAAGACCGCCTTTGGATCCCCCGCCGTAGTCATCTGCGCAAGGCTTGGTGGCACACGGCGCACACGCGGCGTTTGCACCCCATGTGGCAAGTGGAGCACGAAGGGTGCTATATAGAGGCCGTCCCCCCAGGTGGTTTTTCGACGAGTTTTGACACCTCGTCTTCAATGCCTGGGGAGCGCTTCTCACCAGCGCCGCGTCGCCCAGTGCGAGCGGCAGGAATTAGCTCCGCCATGAATAAGCACCCGCGGGTCCGTGTCGCAGGATGGGTCGCGGCTAGGAGAATGGGATACGGCACCGCTCGTCGCCTCGTCTCCATGCCCCGCGGTTACATGCCGGCCAGAAATCCCTCGTTATGTCATCAGCCATGCCAGGTCCACAAGCCCAAGCTGGCAGCGACGCCGCTCAGCTTTCGGCTTCGCAGTCCGCCTGGTACCGGTGCAGGCACTGCTCCGACTCGTTCAAACGCGAGGACCACCTCCGCCGCCACGAGCTCAGCCACGGCTTCCCACGCTTCCTGTGTGACCACAATGGCTGTGGCATGCGCTTCCACCGCAAGGACGTCCTCCAGCGGCACAAGCTCGTCCACCAGCCGAATTCCCTGAAGCGCCGCCGAAAGCCCCGCCGTGGTCCTATACCCCACGGCCCTATACAGCAGGCTGGCGGCCACGCGTCGTGGTCCGGAGAGGACAGCGCCGAGGGCTCCACCACGAGCCCAGATGCCTCTCATCCTCCGCTCCACCAGTCCGAGTCCTTGGCTCAGGATATCTTGACAAATCTGCCGGGAGTCCAAGTGTCCAACGGTCATGGCACCGACGCGAGGCTACAGGTAGATCCGCTGTCGGCCCAGTCCTTTGAC